AAGGGAGTTTAGCCAGCTAGGGAAGAGAGGTGCGATACCTCTCGACCCTGCCAGATCCCCCGTCTTCACCACCTTCTACGGAGGTGGCTAGCCCTGAAGCCGGATGGCTCAGGGCACTCCAGCGGCGAGCGCAGGCAGAAACTGCGCACGATCGCGGATTCCTGCCTGCCCCAAAGCACTGCAAACCAGATGTCCTGGCCAGCATCCCACTCGTCTTGCTCGACCATGCTTAATCTGCCATCAATATCTCCAATCTTCTTATCTCTTTGTTTATCTTCTTCAATTTTTGGAGTCTATCCTCATACTTCATCATCATTTGTTGAATGTTCTCCACCTTTTCACCTATTTTTCCTGTTCTTTGTTCAATGTTCTCTGTTCTTTGTTCAATGTTCTCTGTTCTCTTTTCAATATTCTCTGTTCTTGCTTGTATGTTTTGAATTCCTTGCATAATCATCTGCAGTGTCACCTTTTCCTGTTCTTTTTCTTGTAACGTCGTCTGCATTGATTGTTGTCCTCCAGATGGTGAAGAGGAAGAAGTAGGGATTGAAGATCCAGCCGCTGTTAGTTTCCTGCTCATTTCACAAAAAATCAAAAGGTTACAAACAATTCAAAATCTTCAGGTTCTTCTAGACCTTAATCCACTCGTATATTGAACAATTATAATTCCAAGTAAAAATAGCAAAGGAAAAAGGAAAACAAAGTAAACGAAACATTTCTTCAGGTTCTTGTGCACCTTAATCCAATCAATTGATTAATTGTTGAAAAAAAAACACCAAAAAAAAAAACAAAAAAGGAAAAGGAAAATTGTCAGGTCAATCAATATAAAAAGTGGAAGAAAAAATAAATTTCTTCAGGTTCTTCAATACCTTAATCCAATTAGTCAAAATAAAATAGGCCCAAAAATTCCATAAAGAGTCTAGATACAAAAAACAACAACAACCCAGAAATGGAGCCACAAATACATCCAATATAAAAAATAAAATAAAAAATGGAAGAGAAAAGGAAAAATAGAACTATTAACTTGGAAAGAAAAAGAAAAATAATACTAATAACAATAAGGTAGAACAAAAAATATTTTTATAAAAATAAACTTTAAAAAAGGAGACAAAAGTAAATTTCAAAAGGCCCAAATCCCAAATGTCCACCAAGAATAAATAGCTAATAAGGAGGGGGGTAAGTAGAGGATAAGCTCAAAGTAAAAAAAAAACTTTCTATCAATAAGAGAAAAGAGAAAAACACACTGCACCTCTAAGGCTTTTTGCTAAGTTCCAAACCATTTTTATAACTCTCTTCTCTAGAGAGAAACCCAGAAGAGCACCTGTAATAACACTCTTCCATACTCTTCCCCCTGTCAAACAGGCTCAAAGTCCTTGAAGAAAGGCCTCAGTTCTTTCTCAGCTTTGTCTGGTCTCAGAAAGTGAAAGAAAAACAATGTTTCCAAGCCTCTGGGTGGCAGTGTTACATATTTTCCTCTGCTTTCACTTCCCCCCTCCTTTACCAAAACAACAGAATTAAAAGTATTTTAAAGAGCGAAAAATTAATTTAAAAATTAATTTAAATTTTTCTTAAGAGAAAAATTAAAAAGGAATCTCTAACATAAAGTAATATGAGAGCAAAAAAGAAAGAGGAAAAGAAAACAAAGATAAAAAAACCAGTCGTCAGAGTAAAAAAGCATAAACAATCCAGCAATAGAAAAAAAAACCCACTAATTTTGACTTCCTGTTTAAAATCGCTGCTTAGCCTCTTCTGTCTTCAATTTTACAATTTATTTCTTTTTCTTAGGGTGTTCTCTCAAATCATAAAGTTAAAAAAAAATCATCTCACCAAACTGACGCACTTTCTCTTTCTGTTCTCTTCTGTTTGGAGCTGTCCCAGCTTCAGCAGCTTTAATGGCTGCCTTTTTGCTGCCAGCTTCAGCAGCTTTAATGGCTGCCTTTTTGCTGCCGGCAAAAAGAGCTTCTGCTGGATCTACCAGGGACTTGGCGGTGTCCCTGGGATCGACAGGATGCACTCTTTACCGTCACCATCTCTTCAGGACGGTTTAGGTCCAAAACGACCGTCCAGCAACGAAGATATCGACGGTGATCTTGGAGTTCAAGATCACATGTCGTACCGCCATGACGCCAGCCCCGCCTCCAGGACTTGATGTTCACATACTCTCCATTCAGTGGTTTTAAAACAGTCCTGCAGCTGACTGAGAGCGCCCTCTGGCCAGATTTTAACCATTTTCATGACTGGCTTGAGCTCTTTTCCCGAGAGGGACATACTTAGGGCACGATAGAAGTGAAAGCTGGTCAGATGTACCCAGGTGGGGGAGGGGGAATTACTCTATATGCCTGTTTCAGATTACACACGGTCATTTCAGACACTCCAGTTCTTCCCTCTGGTGGAAAATTGCATGTACTGCACAAACTTAGGGAGAACTGTCTTTAAACAGGCTTGCTCTTACCAGTCACCATTTCTATCAGAGCGATAAATGACTCGGCTTGTCAACTCCACTGTCACATCGGTACAGCTGGGTGTAACCAGGCCTGTTACAATCATCACGCAGCTTTCGCACAGAAGCCTGCTTGCTGTCATCTGCAGCTCTAATTCATCAATTTTGTAGAGGAGGGAATCTGGTGTTGCTCAAAAAGACACTTGGCAGCGCTAGTCTACGGGCCTGCTTTTGGAGCTGAGCCAACAGACCAGCTCTACAGCGGTGCTTTGTTTCTTTCGCTTTTGCTTTCGCCAGCAGCTCCCGACCCAACGACAATCCATGGAAATCCTGGAAACCTCGCTATGCATTTCAGTATGTTGTTGGACAGCTGAAAATCGCTGGTAACCCCGGACTGACTTGCGAGCCCGATGTTTAGCAGCTCGCTCTATGCGTGTGTAGGCAAATTTTGCTCCTTGCTCTACACTGTGCACACACATCCATACCACACACTAGCACCGGGAGCTCGGAGCAGTTGCATGTGAACGTGCCGCCATCTTGGTGGCAGAAAGGCAGGATCAGGAATGGGGGGGTGGGGGAAGCAGCCTAACTGCCTGTTTGGTGATAGAAAGGCAGGATCAGGAAAAAAACCAGGGTCTTCAAACTTGACAGCTTTAAGACTTGTGGACTTCAACTCCTGAGTTAACATGACTGGAAGAGGAATTCTGGGAGTTGAAGTCCACAAGACTTAAACTTGCCAAGTTTGAAGACCTTTGGCCAAGCTGAAAGAGGGCTAGAGGCAGGGGCCCTTAACTGCCTGCAGGTTGAATTCAGCCCAGTCCAGCCGGTTGGGTTCAGTGCACGTCACAGGTTTTGGCACCTTGGACTTTTCATCTCCTGCAGGTCTGTTGAGTGTAGTGTAGCCCTCCCACAAGGGGAGAGGCCTGTCTGGTGAGAACCTTCGAAGGAGGCCTTGCAAGTACCAAGACACACACACGCTCCCAGGTTGTGTTTGCAGCCACTCTTTTATGTTGGTGTAACATGTATTTCTGCCCACAGACCTGCATTAAAGGAGAGCTGAGTTAAAAGGTAATAAGCATGTTAAAGATACCGTGATTGCTATTTTTTTTTTTTGCCAAAAATTGGTCATGCAAGGGAGATTTAAATCTCCTTTAACAAAGTGACTGCTTTACGGAACAAATTTCGGTTGAGGTGCCACAGAAATGGACAGATTTCAGCATTAAAGTGTGCTCAGGAAGGCGCAGAACCCACTCAGCCAGCGTTGGTGGCTCTGTCTCAGGTTGGAGCCTGGCAGCCGAGGGCTTTGCCTTGCGATCAGCATTACTCAACACCTTTGCCAACGACCTGGGCAACAGGACAGATGAGTTGCCTCCCTGAGCATGGCCCCCACCTGCTAATCATGAAGAGGTCCAGCCAGGAAGGCCTCTCCCCCCACCCCACCCCCGTCTCTGCTTCTTTGGGATGGAGGACTAATTCAGCTGCTGAGAGAAATAAAACTTTGGCACTGTGACCTGTGGCCTTTTCAGTTCCCGGATTTAGAAACACAGAGAAGCCGGTACATACTGGGCCCACGCATGTGGTGGATTGCAAAAGCAAGCAGAACATGCTGTTGAAGCTTGGCTGAAATGGTTGCCCCCTTTTAAGTGAAGCCAAATCTAGGGGCGGGCGGGGCGGGGGACGGGACACCTTGCTTCTTTTTGGTGGGATGGTGCAAATCTCACCCCTCCTCACCCCTCCGCCCTCACACACATTAGGAAGGGGCTTTGCTAGAATCAGCCATGGGATAGGGGGAGGGGGAAGCTGCGTTGATGGGCTGCCTCCTGCCCTCCCCTCCCCCCAGGAGACAGGGAGATTATCCAGTCGGGCCTGGCATCCCTTTAGCCGTGGGGTGGCAGCGCCTGCAGCTCCTGTCCCAGGCCGAGAATTGGCTCCTGGGTGCCCCAGTCACGCAGCTCCGGGGCGGGGGGGGGGGGGGGGCGGGGCCTCAAAAGGGGGCAAGGGGGGCTGCCTCCTTTCCCTCTTCATCCGCCCTCAGATCGGAGACTCCGCGAGGGCTTCTTTCCCCGGCGGACCCCACTTCTTGTCCCGCCTCCCTTCCCCGGTCAGACTCCCACAACCGCCCAGGCACGCAGCCAGCCAGGCGGGGGCAATGAGCGGCGGCGACGACGACGGGGACTTCTGGGAGCAGCCACAGCACCTCGAGGAGCCCCTTCCTTGGAGGCTCACTTCCCCCTTCGCGGGGGCCCCGCACCCGTCCCGCCTGGCTGCGTGTCTGGGCGGGGTTGAGGCTTCAACCCCTCCACTCCCCAGGAAAGGAAAGGAAAGGAAAGGAAAGGAAGGGGGGAGAAGGGCGACGCCGGCGAGGTTCTAGGCGACCGAGGGGTCGCGGGGGGGGTGGGGCAGCGGAGGCGGGACCCGGTCGCCCCGCACGGCAGCCGCCAAGCCCCGCCCACACGCGAACCCGGCCGGCGGAGGCGCGTTCCGCCAGCGAGCGTGACCCTCCGCCCCGCCCTTGTGACGACACCGGCCGGCGCCCGGGGCGCGCATGCGCAGGGCGCGCATACGGGCCGGGAAACGGCGGCGATGGAGGCGAGGGGCTCGGCGGGCGGCGGGAGGCCCGTGAAGGGCATCCTGAAGAACCGCTCTGGCAGCGGCGGCGCCAGCGGGCGGGGCCTGGCCGACTCCGAGGCTCTCTCGCAGGCGTTGCCGCTGCCGCCCCCCGGGCCGCTCCTGCAAGCGCAGCCGAGCAGCGAGAGCCGCGGCGAGGAGCACGGGTAGGCGGGGCGGGGCTGGGGGGAGCCCCGGGCTGGGGGGGGGGGGGGGGCGCCCCCCCCCCCCCCCCCCCCGGCCCCCCCCCCCCCCCCCCCCCGCCAGGAAGAAGACGCAGAAGTGGGACGAGATGAACATCCTGGCCACCTACCACCCGCCCGGGAAGGACTACGGGCTGATGAAGATCGACGAGCCCAGCACGCCCTACCACAGGTGCGGGCGGGCGGGGGGGGGGGGGGAGGAGGAGGAGGAGGAGAGGCCGAGCGGCGGGGAGGGGTCGCTCGGGAGGGTCGCCGTCCCACGGAGCCCCCGACGAGCTTCCTTTCTTCTCCCGGCAGCCTGAAGGAGGAGGACGCCGGCAGCGACGCCGAGGACAGCCCGGTGCCCACGGCGGACGTCCTCGCCAAAAAGTAGGTGACGCCTCGGCGCAGGGCCCTCGCCCGCCCGGGCCTCCCTCCGTTCCCTCGGTTCCGCGGGTGGGTCGGGTCCGGACGGGCGCCCCCCCGCAGCTCGGGGCTCCCGCGGCCCTCCGCGGGCATTTCCCTCCTGGGGCCTAAAGGCCTTCCGTCCACTAAGGCTGGTGCCGGGTCGCTCCAGGGCGGAGGGGAGCGGTCTCTGCTCCCGTGTCGGGATCAGGAAAGCGGCTTTCTTGCTGCTTCTGCAGGCCGCGACGGGCCGCTGGCGGCAAGAATGGGGTGAGGTCGATCTCCCTTGCTGTCGCCTCCCCCACCAAACACCGGGAGCGATTTTGGCACCGGAGGCCAAGCAAGGCAGCCCTGCGCGGGTGCCTCTCGCTTGAACTGGCTCCCACAGCAGGTCACTTTTGGCCTCTGGTTTCTCCGAAAGTCTCTCACCTGGATCCTCCCCTGATCAGAATAGCATTTTATCTCTTCTTATTCAAAAGAAACATCTCCGTTTTATTTACCAACTTTATTGATGAAGGAAGGGAGATGGGAAGTTAAGGAACATGAAATATAAAATAAATTTTCTAATCAAACTTAAATGGCTGCCCATCTTATCGAAGGCAATTTCATGCTTGTAAGAAAGTTCTCCATGGTTTTGATTAACTCTCTTTTGTCCCTTGTTTCTGTAAATTCTTTTTCAGAGATCTCCGCTGATATGAGTATCTTTTTACTTTAAAAAGCCCCCTGAGCACCTATGTAGGGCTGTCTTCAACCACCTTAACTTAGGCATACCTATCTTCTTTAGTGGGGCAATTAACCCAAAAAACCCTCCTTTGAGGTTGATTTCCTTGCTCTGGTTAGGCTCCCCTGTGCAGAATGGGCTCCTCTTCCTGGATGCAGTTCTTTCAGATCCCCGAAGACCCTGTTGCGTCTGAAAGTCCTTTTCCCCCGAGCTGCACAAGCTTCCCATGTCTAATCCATTCGCCTTCCTGATGGTGCTAAGAGGTCTGCTTCTGTTTCCAGCGCTCTTAAAAAGGAGGCCCTGCCAATAAGGAGGCAGACGGGGTTCCCACAGAATAGAACAAAACTCATGCCCAGGGATGCGGTGTGGCGCGTCTTGTGAACTTTAATTATAAACAAACAACGTGCTTGTGTGCGAGGTTTCTTGTTTGTCTCCTCTTGCCAACAGGCCTGGGTAAGAGCTCCAGCTATATACCTTAATAGCAAGCTGCATGTATTTACCACATGCCTGCTGGTGCATGTGAAATTTAATTTCATTCAGTCCTGCATTTTTACTAACGCTGATCACACTGCGTGATACGTTCACATTTATCACATGATCATTGTGCTTTTTTTGCCTGCCCTTGCATCCTGGTTTTTTGTATCTGAAAGCTGTGCAACTCTTTGTTGAGCATTGCCTTTTTGGAGTTCCAATTTTCTCTCTGACGACAGTTGATGACTGCATTTGCAGGTTTGACAAGCGGCCCTTCGCTCCTTTATCTGGTCTGTAGAAAAATGTTTGTTAGGGATAAACCCTAGCAAGATCTGCAGGGCAGTCAGGCAGGCAGGCAGAATACGTGAGATAAGTGTTGTGTAGCTTACACTCAGTAAAAGCAGATACAGTGAAAATTAAAGTAGTTTTATTCCAGCAAGAGTTAAAGCATAGTCAAAACAGTCCATATATCATACACTTAGTTCAGTCCGTCCAGGGATTATTCATTTGCAAATTCCAATGTCCAAAATGAGAGGTCAGTACACTTACAAAATAACAGTCCGGTGATTTATCTCTTCGCAGTAGAGAGAGATATGCACAAACTCAGAAGCTCCTCTCTTCCATCTGCAACTCCAGTAATTGCTAGCAAAGCGTCAGGGACTCGTTAGCTTCTCTTGCTCCCTCTTATGGTGGTTTCACACCACACCCAAAATACATGCTTTGCATTTAAAGTAACACACACTTTAAACTAAGAATCATAGCTTATATATATATTATCTTACCCAAACTAGTTAGGTGACCAATGTTATACCTAACAATGTTGACCATACAAGATTAGGCAAAGGCTTGAGACGATGCTCAAGTTTGTCCTTAAGCGTTCAGAGAATTGTGGGCCCTAAACGAATTCTTAGCGATGGCCCTGCTTCTGTAATTGACCAGTGACTCTATCGATGTCGTGGTTCAGACCTCAGGAGACTCTGAGTTCTAGGCCTGCTTAGGCAGGAAGCCAGATGGACGGTCTTTGGCCAGTGACACCCTCTCAGCCCTAGGAAAGAGGCAAACCATTTCTGGAATCCTGCTAACAAAGAGTGCTGGGACATGTCCAGATCAACACGGCCTTGAAGGTATCAGAAGAAAGATGTGACTCTGGAAAGAGGGAGAGAGAGGTTTGGAAGAGATTCCACAAAATTCACAAAGTGTGACTTTCAAGGTGAATGGGTGGCAGTTTTCTGGATCCGTCTTATGTTGATTCCACATGGGAACAACCTTTTTCCTGGCCTCTTACCTGTTGTCTGAGATACAATGGTGTTGAACTCCTTGCTTAGATGTTTCTCCTTCCACCTGCTTTTTCAGTGTAACCCCACGGACTTCACCACGGGGTAGTCTCAACTTTCCCATTTGAAGACGTTTTGACTTCAAAACCTGAAAATTTTTCCGTCTGAACTTTTACCCATGCCTGAGCTTTTGGAAATGGCCTTTCATAAACTCCAAGAGTTGGGGTTCACCACCCTTGTCTAAGTTTCCCCAAGATTCCTGCCTTTTGTGGTTTATCAACCCATCTTAATCTTCATTTTCAAACAGAATTGAAATTCTGTGTACGTCAACTACACTTGTCTGCATTCTTTCATTTTTTTCTCCCTCATTATGTAAGGAGCTTAGGAGACATTCGTTTTTGTCTGTGTTGCTGGAAAATATGGTAGCATTGCTATATTAAAGAAATAAGATTAGGGAGCGTGACCATGATTCTTGTCCCAGTTGCCAAGCCTGGTCATCTTGTGGGACCTTCTCAGGAGCTGCACCTGCCCCATGGAACAGCCGCCTCCCTAAAGTTTATATGGTCCTGATTCCCTGAGCTTTCATTAAACTGGGAACACACTTGGGCTCTCCCTGGAATGGGGTACACCGGTTTACTCCTTGGGAAGTCACTTCTGTTTGTTGTAATCTATATATAAAAGAGAACTTTCATTTTTTAAAAGCACAGAGGTGAAAATTTCCAGAAAGGTTGACTCCCACAGTGTTCTTTTGGGGAAATGGGATATTTATTTACTAAATTTGCATAGCACCATTCATTTTCCTAAATGAAACCTCTTGGCAGATTTTTAATTCCAGGGAAATTAACAATGAAAATGTTCATAATTATGCTATTTAAATATGTACAGGTGAAACTTGAAAAATTAGAATATCGTGCAAAAGTTCATTTATTTCAGTAATGCAACTTAAAAGGTGAAACTAATATATGAGATAGACTCATTACATGTAAAGCAAGATAGTTCAATCCGTGATGTGTCATAATTGAGATGATTATGGCTTACAGCTCATGAAAACCCCAAATCCACAATCTCAGAAAATTAGAATATTACATGCAATCAATAAAACAAGGATTGTACATAGAACAATATCGGACCTCTGAAAAGTATCAGCATGCCTATGTACTCAGTACTTGGTTTGGGCCCCTTTTGCAGCAATTACTGCCTCAATGCGGCTTGGCATGGAAGCTGTCAGCCTATGGCACTGCTGAGGTGTTATGGAAGACCAGGATGCTTCAATAGCGGCCTTCAGCTCTTCTGCATTGTTCAGTCTCATGTCTCTCATCTTTCTCTTGGCAATGCCCCAAAGATTCTCTATGGGGTTCAGGTCAGGCGAGTTTGCTGGCCAATCAAGCACAGTAATCCCACGGTCATTGAACCAGGTTTTGGTGCTTTTGGCAGTGTGGGCAGGTGCCAAGTCCTGCGGGAAAATGAAGTCAGCATCCCCATAAAGCTCGTCTGTGGAAGGAAGCATGAAGTGCTCCAAAATATCCTGGTAGACGGCTGCATTGACCCCGGGCTCAGTGAAGCACAGGGGACCAACACCAGCAGATGACATGGCTCCCCAAAGCAATACAGACTGTGGAAACTTCACACTGGACTTCAAGCATCTTGCAGTATGTGCCTCTCCATTCTTCCTCCAGACTCTGGGTCCTTGGTTTCCAAATGAGATGCACAAATTGCTCTCATCAGAAAAGAGGACTTTGGACCACTGAGCAACAGACCAGTTCTGTTTTTCTTTAGCCCAGGTAAGACGCTTCTGATGTTGTTCAGGAATGGCTTGACAAGAGGAATACGACATTTGAAGCCCATGTACAGGATCCATCTGTGTGTGGTGGCTCTTGATGCACTGACTCCAGCCTCAGTCCACTCCTTGTGAAGGTCCCCAACACTTTTGAGTGGCCTTTTCCTGACAATCCTCTCGTGGGCTACAGTCATTCCTGCTGCTTGTGCACCTTTTTCTTCCACACTTTTCCCTTCCACATAACTTTCTACTAATGTGCTTTGATACAGCACTTTGGGAACATCCAACTTCTTTTGCAATTACCTTTTGAGGCTTTCCCTCCTTATGGAGGGTATCAGTGATGGTTTTCTGCACAACTGTCAGGTCAGCAGTCTTTCCCATGATTGTGATTCCTACTGAACCAGACTGAGAGACCATTTAAAGGCCAAGGAACCCTTTGCAGGTGTTGTGGCTTAATTAGCTGATTAGAGTGGAACACTTTGAGCCTAGAATATTGAACCTTTTCACAATATTCTAATTTTCTGAGATTGTGGATTTGGGGTTTTCATGAGCTGTAAACCATAATCATCTCAATTATGACACATCACGGATTGAACTATCTTGCTTTGCATGTAATGAGTCTATCTCATATATTAGGTTCACCTTTTAAGTTGCATTATTGAAATAAATGGACTTTTGCACAATATTCTAATTTTTTGAGTTTCACCTGTATTTTTTAAGAAATCGCGCAAGAAATACAGGAATAATTATGAACTTTATCCTGGAATAGTATGCAGATACCTTCAGGATCTCCAGGTAGGAGTATTGTCAGCAACAGGTTTTATTCCTCCATAAGTTATTGTTACCTTTATTGTCAGAGTACAACGTGTACAATGAATTGGTCCGTAGCAGGTGGTGTCCATGCCACGGAAGCTATAAATCTCTTCGGTGACTTAAAATCTAAACTGATGGGAGGGGGGGGAAGTACCTAAGTACCTTCCACATCATTTTTTAAAAATCTCTTCTTTGTGATATTTTGTAAATTCTTCTCAAGAGAAGTCCCCCCTCTTCCTGTCTCATGAAGGTGGCAGCAGCAGCTTCTTAGTGCTACAGGATTTCTTATCTGACAAGCAATGAGCACTTCCTAATTTTGAACAAATTAAATCCAATATATATTATATATTATAATATAATATATTATTCATGCTAAACCCCCCAAAATGCATAAGGTTTTTTAAATTTTTAATTCCAAAGTGGCTTCCTATTTTGACTCGTAAGACTGGAGCACGCCTGGGAACAGCGGGGCGGAACTGAACCCCTTTGAGTGGGTTCCCCCTCAGCTCAGCTGCCAGAGGGGCTTCCGGGCTCCTTGTCTGGGGGCTCTTCTCCAGAGTTGGCACATTACTAAATGCATGGCAGTGAACTCCTTGTGGTGGGTGGATGGCATTTGCTTATCTTTGTGGCTTTTCCTGTTTGAGGGAACCACACCGCTCATTTCATTGTACCCTCCTTGGCCGTGATCTGACAGGAGACCCCTGTTCCCACCCTCCTCTGCTCTCCCATTTTCTCTCTGCAGGTTGGCAGCGGCAGCACAAGGGCAGGGCCCCAAAATCCTGGCAAGGCAGGATGACAGCAGTGACGAGGAGGAGGAGGAGGATGAGGTAGACTTAACTCCAGAAGAATTGGGTAGGTGTGGCCTTGAGATTTTATAACGCTAGACCAGACCCGGGCATTTCATGGCCGTGGGCCACATCCACCCCATAGGTGGTCCCAGTCCAACTGGGGTGGGGGGAAGGGGGAAGCAGCAGCAGGGGGTGCAGTGTTGGCGGCCCTCCACAAGGTCCCAGTTTCTCAGGTGCCCATCCCTGCACAAGACCAGGCCGCGAGCAAGAGCTCCCCCTGGGAAGGAAGGGCTGGAGCCGATTGTGTAGCCAGAGAAATGGCCCACTGGACTTGACCAGAGCCTTGAGAATACGGCAGGCCCTCTTTCTGGCCTTGGCCTGCCTTCTCCTGTGCCTTCCCACCTGCGGTGGTTGTGCCTGGTCCCAGCTCTCGTGTCCCCTGCCTTGGTCGCTGCAGGGGAGGGAAGGAGAGCGCAGGGGGAGCGTGTCTTTTTCCTCAAAACAAAAGGCTCTGTGATCCTTGCATGCGCAGAGCAACACGGACAGGTCAGAGCAACCAGACTGGCTCTCCTCTGCCTTCTGTGCAGGTCTGAGGTATTTTCTTCTTCTGGAGGCTCTATGTCAGTGTTGCCAAGACAACTGGTCTGTTTGGCCTTTGCAGACGTCAGCAAGGGCTGAGGGAGACAGTTTTTGTTTTTTTTAATTTATTTGATGAAGGGCTCTTCCTGCTCCCTCTACACCCCCCCCCCCCCCCGCCCTTGGTAGCTTTTCAGGTGGGAGAAAAGGCAGGCACCCAAAAGCAGACCACCGTTCTTGTATGTAACCTCGCTTGTAGTCATTCCTGCAACGTGTTATGTGAAGTGGGGGTGACTTAGCAGAGATTCTCCCCCCCCCTCCAATTAATCTGATTGCACTGGTTTTCAATTTACAAAATTTCATGCATGTAAAATGGAATGAAACTTGTGAAATTTGTGGCTGGTGCCATGTTACGTTGTGTATTCTGCTTCTCCTCGTACAGAGAAAAAGAGGCAGTTTGAAATGAAGAGGAAAATGCATTACAACGAAGCGCAGAACATCAAGCTGGCCAGGCAGCTGATCGCAAAGGAAATGCACGGCGAGGCTGCTGAGGAGGAGGAGGAGGAGGAGGATTGTGAGGAGGAGGAGGAGGATTGTGAGGAGGACGAGGAGGAGGAGATGCAGGATGAGTGTAAAACAAGTACAGAATCAGGTGAGTCCTGGGACTCACGGGGAAAGTCCTTTTCTCTTGGAGGTTTGGACTGGCCGCTCCTGGCGCTGCCGCCCTGAAGCCTCTTGCCAGGGGTCCAGGTTCTGTGCAGTGCGGAAGAGCCTCTCGGTTTGTGCCAGAAGTGCTGGAAGCCTTGGTTTGATGTCTGCTGCTGGCACGCCCCATCTCTTTCCAATGGCCTTTGTCCCTCCTGGGGGAACCTCCTCCTTGAGTTGGAGAGGGAACAGTGGAGGGCAAGGCAGACAGTTGGGTCTTCTGGTTTTTCCCCCTCTTGCCATCTCTCAGTTTGCAGGAAAGCTTCCGTTTGTGCCAGGAGGCGCTGCGAGGTGGTGCGGACGAACCGTTAGCCAGAGGCGGCTGCTGGCGGGCTTGCCTTCTGAATGCGCCTCCCCCTTTGTATTTGCGTTCCAGATGCAGCAGCATGCCAGAAGCAGAGTGTCTCCTTCTGCATCAGCTTCCTTTGAGCCTGTTGGCATCTCCCGGGGGGGACGGGGGGGGGGGGGGGCTCCCTTCCCCCCCGGGGGTCCATTTTGGGGGGGGAACGCGCCCTCCCCCCCCCCCCCCCCCCCCCCCCCCCCGAGACACTCTCTTGGCTGGGCGGTTCTTCGCCTGAATAAATTGATCGCTGCTTCTCTTTGAAGTTCCAAGAATGGTGAATGCCGGAGGAATTCAAAAGAAAACCTGGGTGTCCAATGTCGCCCACCTCTAGTTGCATAAATTGGCACCCACAGTCTGATCAGCTAAACTTCTCATTTGGAGTTGAGAAGCCTTCTTGAATCACAAAGGTGCAAGGAAAAATAGCCTCACAGGAAGCAAGAGGAGAGCGGGGCCGCCCTCGCTTTTCTTTGCGAAGGAAGCCGAGGGAAGATCACCTCGGGCAATCCTAGCCTGCGCCTGTGAGGAAGCCAAGATAGTGTGTGTGTGTGGGGGGGGGGGGCGGGGGGGGCACTCGGTCTGAGTAACCAATAGGGAAAGGCTGGGATCTTCCTCCTCCCTCTTGCTTCTCGGTAGAAGTGGAGACCGACGTCTGCCTCTTCAGAAGGGACAGAAAGACCCAGTTTTACTTATTCTTTTGCTAGCAGCCTTCCATTTTGTCTCTCGGTGGGCTTTTTCTGACCAATAACTCTCAATTTTCTCCGGTGACCTAGGCTTTGTTACGAGTCTGCCAGAAATGGCTTCTCGGGTTTTCTGTCTTTTACAGGTGTTTAAATGTTTCATATGGCTGTCTGTCTGCCCCAGGTGTATCATAGAATTCAGCTGCTCTAACAAGTCTAGAAAAATGTAACTCAAAATCCAAAGTACTGAACTTTTCATAAATCTTAGCACTCTGATGTCCAGCTGGAACATTTCTAATCAGTCTTGACCAGGCTGGTTTTGGAGGAGATCTTGCTTTACGCTTCATCTACGAGTGGAGAAGGGACTAGAGGTTTTCTTTGGGCTTCAGCTCATCAGGGACCCTCCAAAAGTTGCCCAACTATTTCAGTAAAATGGTATGGCGCTGTCTTGAAATGGCAACCCTGGTTGACTAGCGTGGAACCAGTGAAACCGATCAATAGCCATAGTAACGAATACACACTTGGCAGCAGCCAAAGTCAGTGGCCTTTACAGACCATCTCCGTCTCCCCCAGGCTCCATTCGCCTCGCAGGAAAACAGCTGTGTGATTGAGACTTTCCAAAACGGCAGCAGAGATGGATTTCGAAGGAAAGGGCCTGCCTCTTCAGGCCTGCCTGATGATACTTCCCAGAACCTGGAGGATGCCCCTATGTTGGGAATGGGGGGGCAGGTAGAAAGCGGTTAACTACCCACCCTGTGCTGTGACAACAAGCATCGTGGATTGTCTTCTTAGGCACCCGGGGAGCCAGTGCAGCTCACAGAGGGTAGGCAGCGTGGGCATACGGAGGCGCACGCCCAACTGCCCACCTGGGCTGATCCACCTAAAGCCTCCAGTTGCTCTTCAAGGGTAGCCTCCTGTGAAATACAAGAAACCCCTCTGGAGAGGACCTAGGCAGCAGAGACCACCCACCCAGGAAAGAGAGAATTGGGGCATGAAGGATGTCCTAAGCCCCCCCGCCACCCCTCCCAGCCGTGGCTGCCGCCTGTTCCAGCCACGAGTCCAGGAGAACTCCTAGGTTGCGCCCCTGTTTCGTTTAGCGTAGCAGCACCCCGTCCAGAATTAAAGATGGCAGAGAACTGGACCCAGGGGCACCTAAAACCAACCACCACTCAGTCTAGCTAGGGGTGAGCAGAAGCCCCTACGGCCACAGCTCCAGTCCCTCCTCACCACTGGCCACAGCAGTGCAGCTTGTGAGAGCTGCAGCTAAACAGCACCCAGAGGGCTTTCTTATTTTCTCCTCCTCCTGCCTCTCTCGCTGCAGAATTCTTTTCTCCAGGTTCCAGGGTCAGGAGGAGAACCCCTGTCCACCTGCAGCCTCCTCACAGTCGCTGGGAAGCGACTGATTAGTCCAGAATTTGTGGTCCCACCTCTCTGGACGTCAGAGGCTTCTGCTCATTAACTCCTCCTGGCGAGAGTCAGGCAAGGGCCCTCGGCCTCTGCTCTCCTCTGAACACTTTTCTGGAAAGAGAGCCCAGGATACCACAAGGTCCAATGAGCCTCCGGGAAGGCTTTTAAAAGCCCCTTTCTCTGTTGGGATCAAAGCGCTTACCCTCCTTTTCCTTGGAGTGATCACTGGAGAGATCCCTAGGTGACAGGCCACAAAGATAAACAATCCACGTGTAATTGGTTAGTAAATGGAATTTGCTCTCTCTGCTTACAGCACAGCATGCCTGGACGGATATCTTGAATTTGGGGATTAAAAAAACATTCAAGTAAAGTACTAAAGCGGAGCTGTCCTTCGTCTCCTTTGCTCTGCCTGCAGGAGCCGGGCCTCCTTTGCGCTTCAGGAAAGTCAGTAAATCAAAGCAGAGCCTCGTGTGTAGGCCTAGTCCAAGGTGGGGGGGGTCAGGATGGCAACAGCAGACGGTGGTGGTGGGTTGTACGTTTTCTGCCGTTTAGGGTTGTCTGGAGTAGCGATTTAGAGGTAGATGCTGCAGTCAGGCAATAGCAAATCTTTTAATCCCCTACAGCCATGTCCAAAAGACAGGTTTTGGCACTGGGAAGGAGGCCATTTTAACCCCCACTGAAAGTCTCGAGTAGTGATATGGTTGTGAAGGGCAGGACGGGCCCCTTAGGGATGCTAAGTTTGCTCTCAGAAAACCCAGATACTCATCTCATTTCAGGAATTGGCACACGAAGGACTGAGAAGTCTATGGAAGTGTTGATTTCCACAGCAAGTATTAAGGATCCAAAACCTAGGAATGTGCCATTGAAACCTAATGCGTTGTGTTTTTTCCAAAGCCCAGCGGGATCCCATGCCGTCAGCGAGGAGCCCCTTGGTCTGCTCCAGAGATGACCAATGCCTGCCCCGCTGCTGGGATGCCCTGGGCTGCCTGCTGTGACCACCCCCGTCTCTTTTTTCCCCACAGTAACTGCTCCTAGCGACCCGTGTGAGAACGTTGCACACAGCCTGGAAGAAGTCTGCTCAGGACTGTAACCGCTTCCAAAGCCACCCTTTTGTGTTCCTTGCCGCATCACCCTTCTGCGGGTCTGTTTCAACAGGTTGGCTTGCACTTTGGTATTTGACGAAAATGGTGGTGATCTCAAGGTTTTCTGTTTGGCAATGAAAATGTTGCTGATGTGGCTGGTTCTAGTGGTCACAGAAGATGGTTTCGCTGTTCATCTGCTGAAGGACACAGTGTGGGGCAGCGCCAGTGAGCCAGGCCCATCGGTGTCACTCCTTTCTCTGGTTTGAACCTGCAGAATACCTGGACACTTTGTTTTCACTTTTGTCATGCTGTAGTATTTGAGTTACACACAAAGGTCCCCATAAGGGCTTGATGTGAATGCGCGGTACTGCAGCTAGGAAAAAGAATGAGCCCCTTGGCACCCGACGAGGCCTTTTGCAAAAGGGATTAATGGAAGAGTTCCCCCCTCCCCTCCCGCAGAGTTTGCATCTAGCTGGTTCGGAGAGGCAGGCAGTTCTTGCCTCGGCGGCCTGCCGAAAGGGAAAAGCTGGACGGCATTCCCAGCTGCAGTGTTCCAAAGCGGGAGACGATCAGCCCGTCTAGGTAGCCGCTGTAGCTTTTTTTCCAACTTGAGTGGGCCGGGATTGGGAGCATTGCACGGGCTCCTCCATCAGGCCCTCTGCTTCTCAGGGTGCCTTCCCCCGTGGTCGAAGGGTCTGCCAGCCTCTAGAAGATAAAACCAGGTTCAACACCCCCATCCCCGTGCTGCCTGTTGGCTTTCCTTCTCTCTCTGGCGGGGCCTGTGGAACAGCCTAACTGGCCTCCCGCTCATACATATATATATCCATGCATCTATGGATGTGTGGAGAGACACCAATTACCGGACAGAATTTCTGAGGGCGGCATTCTCCAGCAGTCCCAGTTGACGGTAGCACCAGGCAGGCAGAGATCCTCCTCCGAGGAGACTCTGGTGTGGTGGCACAGAGAGAGAGTGCACAGCCCCCTGCTTTTGCTGCGTAGCTAGAAGAGGCAGCATTCCCACAGCCCTCTCTTGCCCTGTGGTCTCTCTTCGGCAACCTCTCCACCCACCCTCCCCGCGTCATGAATGAAACTGAATCAAACAGCTGTTTTGTAGTTTGGCCTTCCTGATTTTCTTACGCCTTGGAAGAGGGAGGTGCATCTGTGGGTCAGCTAATGTTTGTAAAATGATTGGGAATGTTCTGACGAGCTGAAGTTGCCCGGAAAACACCCCGGTTGTGCTACTGAGTTTGCTCCTCCACTTCTGGGTTCCATTTCACTGGCTTGTTTCCTCCATGTAACTGTTTTATTGAAGTAAAGAAACCACCAAGTGTATTTTGCAACAAGCTGATCGAGTATCTCCTCCTTGGGGCAGGCAACTTGACCAAAATGGTGACAGAATCCCCATAGGGTAACCTTGTTCTGAGGCTCGGCCCCAATGAACCGTCTTCCTGGAGCTGGACTTTGGTCTGGTGCCGGGGCCTGAATGGAGGCCGCCAGGGTAGGCCAGGCCGGTGGCCAATCGTGGTGGAGGTCTGGGGGAACCTGGAGGCTCTTCTCCCCATTACCCTAACCGCCCCCCCCCCCAGCACTCCTGGCAGAAGCGGGTCCCTTTGTGAGGAGGAAGCGGAGGTTTCGGGGTGCGGGGACTGGATTTAGCTTATTAAATTTGTTTGCTGCCGGGCAGCTCTGAGCTGCTGTAATGGCGTCTCTCGACCCTTCTGACAATAAAAGGGCTCCGCTGAGACACTAAAAAGTTAACTCGGCCAGTAAAACGTGCAAGAGAAGCCAACGGAACGCTCCCCGAAGAAAAGGGGGCCGGGGTGCGGGTGGAATCGGCGGGGGCGGCGCCTAAGGTCTCAAGGGGCCGGAGAGCCGCAGCCCTGAGCTCGCCCGTCCGCTTGGCGTCCTTTACAGGCGCCCCAGCAGAGGGGAGCTGCAACCTGGCCCCCAGCCTGGGCGAGCTCTCCCCTTCCGGTGTTCGGGCCGCGGGAATGAGGAGAAGCCGCCGCCGCCGCCGCCGCCCTCGGCCGCTGGAGCCCAAAGCGCTAGTGCGCCTGAGCCGCAGCCGACTACGCGCAGCTGGGGGGGGGGGGGGGGGGGGGGGGGCGGGGGGGGATGGGGGGCCGGGGGGGGGCCGCGGCCCCCCCCCGGCGGGGGGGCCCAACGGGGGGGGGGGCCGCGGCGCCGGCCGGGCCTGGGGGGGGGGGGGGGGGGGGGGGAGGCGACGGTACCGACGGGAATTGAAGTCCCAGCTGCTGGCCCCGCCTCCTCGCCGTTGACCACGCTCCTCGTGGATTGGCGGCGCTTTGGACAAAGCTCATTGGGCAGTCTTCTTCAAGCCGCCCGGGATTGGCGCGGAGGGTTGGGGGCTGGCACGCGGTTGGATCTCTGCGACGCCCGTCACGGATGGAGAGGGCGGCGTGCAAAAGCCCTCGGCTCAGCAGCCCGGATTGGCTCTCGGGAAGTGACCGCCCTCGGTGGGCGGGGCAGCGTCTGCCGCCCCGCATCCAGCCCGGTGAAGCCGGAAGCGAGGACGCGGCCGTTTGGGATGCGGGTGACGGTTGACTTCGAGGAATGCCTGAAGGACTCGCCCCGCTTCCGGTAGGCGCCTTCCCTGCCCGGGTCGCTTCTCGCTTGGCGCCACCGCCGCCGCTCGCGCCCCCCCGGGGGACAGCCCCCCCCCCCCCCCCCCCCCGTGTCCCGTCCCGCGCCGAGGCTGGAGAAGGGGCGGCGGCGGCGGCGGGGCCGGTCGGGGCGAGGGAGGCGCTTCCCACTGTGCGACGCGACCGGAGGAGCCTCGGCGTCCCCAGGTTTCTCGGCGGGGCGGCCCGGGCCACAGGGTGCCGACCGGCCCGCTTGCTTCCGTAGGAGACGTCGCTGCTTCGGGGTCGCCCCGGCTGGGACCCAAAGCGGGCAAAGGGTCAGCCGCCAAGGCCCCAAAGGCTCCGATGCCCCCCCGCCCCGAAATTGGGGCCTCTCCAGCGGTGGGGGGGAGGAGGCGCGAGTCCCCCCGAGGGCTCCTGCTTCGCGGGCCTGCCTTTTCCAGCTGGGAAAACGGGCCTCTCGAGCCTTCCTCGGCCCCGGGGAGCCTCTTTCTTTCCTCTCTCCGGTTTGAGCGATAACTGTCTGGTTCCCGAGTAACGGAGACCAGAAGCCGCTGCTGAAGCCCCGGCGGCTCCTTTGCCTCTGAGCGCCCTTCGCTAAGAAGCAGAAGGCCAGAATTGGGCCTGGAGCCCTTGTGAAGGGAGGGGCCTTGGTGGCCCCCGAGCCCTGGAGAGAAGGTGCCCGGCCATCTCCACCAGGCTCCTTAGGAAATCGGTGCAGCTGCGATTCCCTTTCTAAAGACTGTCACAAATGGATCCCTGTGGGATCTCCTGATTCATCTTGCAGGGCTGCCCTAGAAGATGTGGAAGGAGACGTCTCGGAGCTGGAGGTGAAGCTGGACAAGGTGAGCAAACCTGGCTCCGCCGCCCGCCCCCAGCAAAGGTCCTTTTGGGGTGCTTTGGGACCGAGTCGAGGGGGTCCCCGCCTCGCCCGCTGGAGGCAATGAGCCCAACCGGGAATGCCGCCCACCTTCGCTTTTCTTTCAGTTTTGTGACTCTCTGATTGTGGGCCTTGAAGCCTCTGTATGCAAAGGGATGAGCTATTTGCTAGGCTCAGCCGCTCTCTTTGGCACTCATCGGTTGTGAATCCTTTTTTGGAAAAGATGTAGCATCACGAAATAGCTGGCCAGCTTGGCAATCCTCTTTGCCATGAGATAGATAGATAAGATAGATAGATAGATAGATAGATAGATAGATAGATAGATAGATAGATAGATAGATAGGCACCCCTTTCTGGCAAGTTGCACGCTGGCAGTACTGCTTATGGTCAGAGGGCAGAACCTTCCATACCTCGTTTAGAATTGGACGTGGCCCATGCATCCTGTTCTTGACATAGCTTGCCTTCGTATTGCTGTTCAATCCGGAGTGCCATTTGTGGGAAGTATTTGCAAACAAAGTTCTTCCTCTGTAAAATCTGGTGCCTTCCAGTTAAACAATGGGTAGAAGGTGCTTGGTTTATCGATGACCATAATTATAGTTCAGTTGGGTCATTCCTTTGGTACTTATAGTAAAGCAGCAACAGCAAAGCAGCGGTTAACACAAATGTACTACACAATGCCATTGAATCCCATGAGGCCCATGCATGCAGGGCAGCCACTCCAAGGAATTCTCGTTTCCAAATTGCCATTCGTTGACTTTCTCCATATGTGGGGACCCTCCACATGCCTTCTTAGTCAGCACATTCTCGGTGGACAGATTCGATACGTACTGGGCAATGCTGAAGAAGCTCAGGTTCCAAGCCAATCCAGGGTGGAGACACTGAGTAACGCCTGCTGTCTTCTGCGCATGGATGATGCCCCCCTCGGTCTTGTGAGATCTGCCCTCCAGCAGCTGCTCTTCCCCCTGGGTGCAGGAGAAAGGTGTGAGGAGGACCCCAGGGGGAGAGGAGGGGCAGCCTTGGCTGAAGCTCTGGAGGGGCATGCCGTGCCGTTCGTCTTGTCCTTTTATACTGAGCTGTGTCTTTTCTGTTCTGGGTACTCTTGGTCTCCCTGCAGGTCTTCCCAGCTGGAGGTCTGAGGATTGGAGGTAGATGCAGACAGACAGACAGACAGACAGACAGACAGAGGCTTCTGCCCAGGCCAATGGAAGTGCAGCTTCCAAGGGAGTTTCTCCCCACTTCTCCTTTCCATGATACTCACAAGTCTTGGATAAGCTGTCCTTGCCCTCGGGTGGCAGGGTTTTTATGTCCCACCATTCAGACCTGCCGAGACTTAGGCGAGCTGGCAGCGGTGCCAGTCGTACTGCCCAAAAATCCACCCTTAGACTCTAGGAAGCTTAGAAGAGACCGGCGATGGTTCTGCCCTGCTGTGACACCTGACACGCTGCCTGGGGAAATGGAACGCATTTAGAAATGCAGGCAGTTTCTTCCTTCCTTCTCCTGCGCTCAGCTGAGTCATCCTGGGGAGAGGAGGTGTCAATCCTGGTCAAGAGACCGAGAAGTCAGTAGGGATGCCAGGGAAGTCCGGGTTTTGTCTCCCACGTATAAACCCGTCAAAAGAGCACCTGGGCCAGGACAGAGGCCTGCGAGGCTGCTGGTGCCTCCTCCTCCTCTTCCGCCAGTGTGGATGCTTATGGACTCCTCTCGGGTAGGCAAACCCTCCAGGGGTGGAATTGCCCATCCCACTTTACTCCGTTTCATCTGAGAGGCGGCCATGGTCGAGATTTTTGCCCGCTTCCCCTTCCTGTCTAGGCTGCCCCTGCCTCAGGTGCTGAGCTACTCTCTCCAGTTTCCAAGGGGGAGGCGGAGGGGGAGTCCCGCACAGCTGCGGGAGCTCCAGCAAGCGAGCGAGTAGGGCCAGATACCGCCAAGGGTTTGTCTGGCGTGTATATTCACAACGGTGGAAACTGACAGAAGTTTCCTGCCTTGATTTATAGGGCGTTAATTGGGACATCCTCTCTTTGATTTGAAATGGCTTGTGGCCTGGGCTGAGTTGCTGGCTGTTGTCCCCTGACTGGCCTTGGCCCCTGGCTTGTTCCTGTCTCCCCTCCCTGCCGTTCCTCCCCCAGCACGGAGGGTTTGTGGCTGAATTGGGATTGAGTGAACTGCATTATCACAGTCCAACAATAAGGCCCCGAACCGCTATCCAGAAGGCCCTGGGTCAGCCGCCCGCCCCCCCTTGATTCAACTCTGGGGCTGTCCTGGACTTGGCTGCAGCTGCGGCAGGATGCCTGGGGGCTGCGGGTGACGGAGGACCTCACTTGGACTGCTTCTGCTGGGAGAGAGGGTGGGAAAGAGACCCTGCTGGCCACCACAGGCAAAGTCACGGCCCCCAACAGCTTTTAAAACATCTTATGGTTATCTGGTGCAACCAATGTATGTAGTCAATCTAAGTATTGAAAAGGGTTGTAAACAATAGAACTGAGAATAAGTCCTCTAGAACAGAAGAGAGAGGCCTAATTAGACTTTAAAGGCCACAAACGAGCGAAGAGGGAGGGTGTTGGAGTAAGGGAGCCTTCCTGGACTGGCAGAGCGAAATGTGTGGAGCAAAAGGCTTCCTTGAAAGGGGTGGGAGGGTTGGGGGTGCATGGGAATCCCCAGATTGGCTGGCTGCCTCTGGAGGCGTCTCCAAGCCCCATCCAAGGGGATGTGGTCAGTCCCCGGTCGATGTGTCATTCAGTGGCCAGAAAGCCGCCCCTCCTACCTGCCCCCTGCCCTTGGCCGGCCCTATAGCCCAGGAGGCTCCTCTGGGACCCTCGGGCTGTGAGGTGGGTCTGAGACCCCCGGGGCGGGGGGGGGGGGGCAGAAGCAAGGCGCTCTCCCTCCCTTGCAAATGAAGCTCAGCTGGGCCTTGGCTTCCCCTTTGTGGCAGATGGATGAGTCACGTTGCCCCAGAATGAAGAAGGGCAGGAAAGGAGAAGTTCTCCCTTGAAAATGGGGATGGAGCCCAAGGCCGGGCTCAGCCCTGAGGGGAGGAGGGGCGGCAGGGCTTCAGGAAGCGGGCCCCCCGGGGGTCTTCCGCCTGGGGGGGTGGTCTTGATCTGGGTGGGTGTGTCTCTGGGGAGGCAGAGATCCGGGGAGGACCCCAGTTCAGCTGGACCTTCCAGGGTGGGGCTGAGGGATCTCCTGCTGGGAAGATAAATAAGAGAGCCACCCAGGAGGGGGAGCATTGCGGGAGGGCTGGAAAGGGCAGAGGGCGACCCGGGCATCCCCTCTTGATCCAGGCCTTCTGGCGGGGGAGCCCCCCCCCGCCGCCCTTTGCCCTGCTCAGGCCTAGGGTCACCCCGGGCTCTCCGCCCTCAGAGGCAGAGCCCGTGAGGCTGTTGTCTTTCCTTCCAGCTGGTGAAGCTCTGCATTGCCATGATTGATACGGGGAAGGCCTTTTGTCTGGCAAACAAGCAGTTCATCCACGGCCTCCGGGATCTGGCCCATTACTCGAGCAAGGATGACCTGGTGGAGGTAAGGCCCAGGTGCTGAGCCCAGGTGGGGGAAGAGCTGAGCTCCAGGGGGGGTCAGGTCAGGTAGGCCAGCCTCTCCTTGGCTCCCGGGGTTGGCATGGCTGCTTCTCCCCCACTCAGTGGCGTGGGGCTCCTCCGACCGCCTGGCGAGACCCTGGTGTCCTGGTCCCGAGTACAGCGGTCACCCTGGATGCTGGGGGGGGGAGCCCCCCGGGGTGCCGCGCTTCCAGAAGGAAATGCTGCCCCTGTTCAGTTGGGTGCTGCTTTCCACGCCTCCTTTTCTCCTTCTCCCTCTTCCAGGGCAGCTTGACCAAGTTCTCCGACAGCCTCCAGGAGATGATCAATTACCACACGGTATGTTTGGGAAGCAGCTTCATTGAGGCAGAGCCTCTTTGTGGGTCTTGAAACACAACTGATAAGTGAGTGGTTGGCTGTAACCATGTCTGGATGCCCTTCGTGGACCCTTCTAGGCCTTTGGCTCTTGAACTCCCAGGGCAAGCGGGCGACTCAGTTATTCCAGCAGACTTCCTGGAACGCTGCTCTTGGCACGGGGCTCCAGCTGCTGCTGTGGTCTCCCGCCTGGAATACTGCCTGCCCTTCCCTCCGAAACGCATGGGACCCGGGGTGGGGGGGGCGGGGGGAGGCACCCAGGCTTTTGAAATGCCTCCTTCGTTAGGTGGGCTTGTGGGAGAGGACTGCTCCTTTATTTTTTGCCCTGCGTGCCAGCCCCGGTCTCGTGAAGGAGGAGGCAGTCTTGATGTAGACGGGAGCAAGAGCCCAAGCAGGCCACACTTGGTGGCGGGGGGTTGGGGGGGTGGGGGGTGGTGGGGGTGGCTCTTAAATCTGGACCTGAGAAGACTGGCTTGGAATCCCACCTGAGTCTCCATTCACGGGAAAGGTCCTTCTTTTTTTTTTTTGTAACAAATTTTATTAATTTTCAAAGAGAATACACAGACAAACAAAACGTAAAACATAAGAACATAGAACATCTTTTCTAAAAACTGCTTAACAAAACAAATAAGACATCTCATTTAAGTACAACATAGTTCTAAATTATCACGTTTCCACACACAATTTAATATGCATCTTATATTCAACTTCATATCTTATTACTCTTTTCCAACTTCTCACTGTTTCTTCCTTTATTTCTATTCAATTTTATTCGTTAAACTTATACTTTCATGTATTTCATATTACTATATTTCATATTATTACTATTTCATATGTTCTTATCCAACATCATTAATCCTCGATAAACAAACATAAGCTAACAAAATACATAACATAAAAACATAAAACTTCTTTTTAGAAAGCGGCTTAACCCCGGGTTATAACTTTTTGTACAGACATAAATCAAATTCATGCTCACCCTATGTACTATTTCATATCTTATTTAACATTCTATATTTTCCATATGTCTTTTCTTTTCACTCTCTTAATTCTATTTTATTTATTTAATCTCAATTTAAATCATTATTCTTGTATCTTTTGTCCGTTCTTTTTCAATTATCCATTTATCTTTCTCTTTAACACAAACTTTTTCCTGTAATCACTGGTTGAAGTATGACACCTTTCTATTTTCCCCCCAAATTTAACACTTAAAATAATACATAGTTTCTATTCTGATTCTGCTTAGTACATTCTACATAACATTTTAAAATATAAAACGTAATGATCTTAATATACTATATTAAAAATACTGTTCCATAACAAATTAGCTAATTAAACTAATTACACATTAATTACACATTCCCTACAGTATTCTATTAACACATATTTCAAATACAAATACTACAATACAATCATGTGTACTTTTGCAGAATCTCTTTTTAGATTATGTTTTACCCTTTATCTCTGAAAAAAACCTGTTTTATTAGCATCTTGTTTTAAGCCTTTATAACTTCCCTTCTCTTTTTCCCTTCCTTCATTGTCAAATCTAACCTTTTTACCCCCCATCTCTCAATCTCCAGCCTTTTAGTCTCCCTTCTCTGTTGTATTCCTCTTTTCTGTTGCTTTCTGACATTATATCGATTTTTCACCTTATTTTTCCCTTTCTTGGTTGTTTTTTTAGAACTTAAATACTTCATTTTCTTCTCCTTTTTACCCTTTTCTTTCTCATTTAAAATCATATGTCCGTTAAAGATGGCTTCTTCTTCATCATCCCAGCCTTTTTCTTGTTGCATTTCCTGATAAGTAGAAATCGCCATTTCTAAAAAGCAAAGGATAGATCCAAAGGAACCCTTGCCTCCTTCTTCCTCTTCTCTTAATTTTTCAAATTGCATTTTCAGTTCTTCAACAGATACCATTGTGAAAAAAAAGTTTTTAAACAATCCAAATGTTTTCTTAGTCTTTCAAAAGATAGTTAAAGTCCCAAAGTCATCAAGCAATCAAAGTCAGCACAATCAGCACAGTCTGTTTCATTTAGCACTTTCTTCTACTTTCTCTTCCTGGGGTAGAATTCAATTACACAATTCCAAGGTATTTTTGGGAAGTTTTATTGCAATTTAATCTCTAATCTTATAAAACTCCAAGCAGTCTCCTTCAACAAACGTTGGTATAAATCACTTACCTCTCTTCCTTCCCACTTAAAGCAAAAAATTTTTAATTTTTAAATGTCAGTGTTTAGAAATCTAATGTCCCCTTGGCTTTAATTTTCAAAGTTAGTGCCTTCTGCTGCCAAAGCGGGTATTTCCGATTTCCATCTGCTGTTTCCGTGGGAAGGAAAGTGAGGAGAAAAAAAAAAAACTTTCCCTTTACTTTCCACCGCAGCTTAACAATCTTCTGGGAAACAATATATATCACTTAGAGAGCCAAAGCTCCAGGGTATTCAGATGTTGATTGTCGTCGCGGTTCAGCCAAAAGGTCCTTCTGCCACCCTCCAAGTGGAGCCAACATGGAGGAGGTCCCGTGGCATGGGGAGCTGCCTGGGGAGAGAGAGAGTTTAGACTGGGCCTGGGGGGGTGGGGTGGGGGGTGGTATTGAGTCAATTCAGTGGGGTTTTGCCCACGAGCCCATTCCCCCCCCCCCGCATTGGCTGAAGGCATCTTGGGCCTCTCCCGCATCCCTGGTGAGTCCAGAGTGAGTCACGTTAGTTAAGCTGGCCACCTATTCAACATATTGCATCCCACATGTTGGACTTGGCTTATTGCACTGCCGTCTGCGTTAGAGTGAAATGCGTTTACGTGAAAACAGTGTAAAAGCCAAACCGATAAAGAGATGTTGCAATGCATGATGGCAACAGAAATTTTAACGAAGGCGAATCATAGTGCTATGGATACGTAATTTGTTTTTTTTTAAAAAAACGAAATTGGGCCCTTGTAATGGAACCTTCTGCCGAAGAGAAAGGGGATGAAAAATGCGGAGGGAGCTTTTGAGCTGCACCCTTTCCCCTTTCAGATCCTCTTCGACCAGACCCAGAGGTCCATCAAAGCACAACTCCAGATGTTCATTAAAGAGTAAGTTAACTTCCAGGGTTGCCAAAGACTGGTGGCCTGGTGGGAGTCTGGCCCAAAGGGGAATTGCAGGGCCCTCATCTTGGCCCAGAAGAAGGTAGGAAGTGCAGGCGGTGCGCTGCCGCCCCCCCCCCCCCCGCAACCCCTCTCAAACAAACACTTGGCCTGACCTCCCTGGGGTTGGGGTGGGGGCAGCCGCTCAGCCCTGCTGGCTTGCAGAGAAGCAAGGCCGCTCCCCTTCCCAGGTCTCTTGAGGGACGGCAGGATGTGCCGAGGCCAAGGGAGATGCTGTGCGCGGGGGGGGGGGGGGGGGGGGGGGGGGCAGAGTTAAGGATACCCAAAGTTGCTTCGGGATCCGCCACTCTGTGTGCCAGCTGTGGTCCCAGAGCAAGGCCAACAGCGGCCTGGCTCCTTCGGTTTTCTCTTCGTTGGGGGACCCTTTTATGCGGGGTTTGGCCTTGCCGGGGGTCCCCCCGGTCATCGTGGGGGGTGGGAGACAGTGTGATATTTCCCTCGGGGAGCCCGAGGGGCCACGTCCGGAAGGCCAGTGCCCGCTTGTGGCTCAGCACGTTCTGGAGGGTCTGGAAGGCACCGTCTCCTCTCCCTGCTGGCACCCAAAAACCCTTTGCCTTCCTTTTCTGCACACCCCTCTTGTGCTTGTGCCGAACCCCTTAGGGAAAAGAAATGCCTCCCTCCCCTTGAATCCCACTCGAGGGGGGGGAAGGGGGGGAGCCCTCCCTTGAGGGAGCCTGGCAGCGTCTTCCCTCCTTTCACGCACTAGAGACATTCGGAAGTTCAAGGAGGCCAAGAAGCAGTTTGAGAAAGTGAGCGAGGAGAAGGAGAACGCCCTGGCCAAGAACGCCCAGGCCCCCAGGAACAAGCAGCATGAAGTCGAAGAGGCCACCAACATCCTCACCGCCACCCGGAAATGCTTCCGGCACATCGCTCTGGACTACGTGCTGCAGGTGAGCCTGGTGGGGGCCGCCTTGCCCGGGGGGGGAGGGGGGAAGCAGGGGTGTCTTGCTCGATGTGGCTGGGGAGGGGCTGGTAATGGAGGAAGGGAGGCCGCCTCTTTCCCAGAGGGCCCGTCCCACGCAGGTCTTTGCCGGGAGGGGTCCTGGAAGGGGTGCGAGCAGCCCTGCTGACTGGCCCGTTCCCTTCCCTTGCGAGGCTTGACCGCCCCCTCGCCTGAGCCCGGACTACCCACTGGGAGAACTTTTCCCAGCCCCCTCCCCAGCCCCTGCCTGACCTCCACCCGGTGCGGGGGGGGGGGGCTTCCCACTCCCTCCTTTCCTGACTCAGTGAAGCAAAGGGATTTTCTTCTCTCCCAGATCAACGTCCTTCAATCCAAGAGGAGATCGGAGATCCTGAAATCGGTAAGTGGCCTTCCGGCGCAGAGGAAAGCAACGGCAGTCCTCGGCTTACAACCGGCCTCTTAGTGGCTGTCCGAAGATGCAGCAGGCCTCCCCAGGGCTACCTATGGCCCAGTTCTGAAGTTAGGATGGACACCGCCCTCCTCCACACACACACACACACACACACACACACACACACACACACACACGCTTCCTTGTGGCCACAATTATAGTTTGCACAGTCCCTGGTCTGTGGTTTATGGTGGTTTGTGTAATGACAGCGGCGGACGCTTTTTTTTTTTTTAATATTCAAAATTTCAAAAATTTTAAAAAACAAGTTCTCACATTTTACAGCGATATCATAGCAGAGTACATGTCCTTTAATAACAATTAAATTCACTTACCATAGGTATGTCTGTAGCTAATTTACCAGTTTCTTACTTACTATACTATTGTTAAAGTACAATACTTATTTATTTACGTTACTTTACATATGTACACATAAGTCGTATATCGTATTCTTCTTTGATATTTCTTTAGTCATTTTATTGATTTTTTTAAAAACAAAACATAAAACATAAAAGCATAAAACATCTTTTTTGAAAGCAGGTTGATCCCGGGTTACATCTCTTCGTACAGACACAAATTCAGATTCATGTTCATTTTATATACCATTCCATATCTTATTACCATTCTACATTTTCTATGTAGCTTCTCCCCTCTTTCAATTTTCTTAATTTTATTTTATTTATTTCATCTCAATTCAGATCATTATACTTGTATTCTTTGTCTGTCCTGTTTCCAGCTGTCTGTTATCTTTTCTCATTAAACAAAATTTCTCCTGTAATCGCTGATTGGAGTATGACGCCTTTATATCTTTCCCCTAAATTTATAACACTTAGTATAATACATAACTTCCATTTGGATTCTGCTTAGTACATTCTAAAGTTACACATTGTATTTTAAAAGAGAAAAAAATTATAAATATATAATATAATTAAAACAACAATCCATACCAATTCAAATCTATTGTTAATATTAGTATTCATTTAAATCTTAAACATTTTACACATTACTTTTCAAATAAGTATCATACTTCTATGGGAACACTTATAAACTTTCCATAGTTACTTCCCCACACTTCACTCATATTTTAAAACATATCATTAAAATGTTCCCATTCCTTCCTAGTTCAATTCTTTCATTTATTTCATTTCATTTATTTTGTTCACAAAAGTTTCACTGAATTACACTGAGTATTTTATCCCACTTTTGAATCATATGTTGTTTCCAATTTTCTAACATTATTTCTAATACAAATATAACAATACTATCTTATGTACCTTTGCAGAATCACTTTTTCAGTTAAATTTTTACCCATTATCTCTAAATAAGTTCTGTTTCTTTACATCTTGCTCCACACCTTTGTAGCTTCTCTTCCCTTCCTTCCTCCCTTGCTGCTTCTCTCTGCCCTTTTTACCCCCTTACCTCTCCACCTCCATTTCCCTCTCCTGTGTTCCCATTTTCTGTTGCTTTCTAATATTATATCCACTTTTCACCTTATTTTTCCCCTTTTTGGTTGTTTTTTTAGGTCTTAAAGTCTCCATTCTCTTTCCCCACTTTCCCCCTTCTTCCCCAAGTAAAGTTACTTGTTCATTAAAGATGGCTTCTTCTTTGTCCCAATCTTCTTGTTGCGCAGTCTTTTCTTGTAGTTTCTCATAGGTACAAATCGCCATTTCTAGGAATTGAAAAACGGAGCCAAGAGAGCCCTTCCCTTCTTGTTCTTCTTCTTTATATTTTTTAAATTCCATTTTCAGTTCATCCACAAGTGGTGCCATTGTAAAAAAAAATTTCAAACAACCACCCAAGTGTTTTTAGTCATTCAAATATAATTTCCAAAAGTCACCAAGTCACCAAGCAATCCAAATACACACAAGCTGTTTCTTGTAGCACTTTCTTCTTTTTTCACTTTCTTTTCCTGAGGTTACTATTTAGTTACAAAGTTCCAGTTAAGATGTATCTTTTAGAAGTCTTGTTGGGATTTAATCAGATTCTTTTAAATTCCAGGCAGTCTCCTCCTTCCAAATCTTACTCTTATTCTTTTCCTCTCCCTTCCCACTTACAGCAAAAAAAAGGTTTGTTCTTTATATTCAGAAGTCCTTATTGTCCCCTTGATATTTAATTATCCAGTTTAATTACCTCTTGATGCCAAAGTGGGTTTTTCCGATTTCTCATTCATCTCTGTTCGCTGTCAGGGTAAGGAAGGAGAATGAAAGAAATTTTTTTTTTCCCCTTTTCACTTTCATTCGCTACTTTGAAATCTTCTGTGGGAGCAATGTACCTTTTTTAAAATTTAAATTCCAGGATTCCTTGGTTGTTGCTTCTTATCCCGGTCAGCCAAAACTTTCACTTCTTAACTTCCTCCTGCACTTTCTTTTCCGGATGAGTGCTGCTTTGAGGCGGCCATTTCTGATCGCCGCTCATTCGCCTTCGGGAAAGGGAATTTAGCCAGCTGGGTAGGAAAGATGCGGCTTCCCTCGCCCCTGCTGGGATCTCCCGCCTCTTTGCCACCTCTACGGGGTGGCTTAGCCCCAAAGCCAGACTGGCTCGGGATGCTCCAGCGGCGAGCCCAGGCAGAAACCACGCACGATCGCGGATTCCTGCCTGCCGCCGAAGCCCTGCAAACCGGAACCCTCCATTTCTTTAGTCATTTTCACAGTATGGACACTTTATAATTGCCACGGAAAAGCTCATAAAATCAGGTTGGCCAAGTGGGTCACCTCATTTACGACTGCGATGGGCAGGAGGACGGCTCGTAGGCACTAGGTAGCCCATTATCCCCAAAGTGCTCAAGGCGGGGTTCAGTAAGGGGGGAGGTAGCCTTGGGGCCCACAGGCATGGGTGTTTCAGGTGCCCCCCCCGGGTCCAGACTGTCCCATCTCCTCCCGCCCTCACCTGCCCCCTTTGCCCCCCACAGATGCTCTCCGTCATGTGTGCTCACCTGGCCTTCTTCCACCAAGGCTACGATCTGTTCAGTGAACTGGGGCCCTACATGAAGGAGCTGGGTGCTCAGGTAAGGAGGGAGGGAGGGGCTGCCCCAGGGGTGGGTGGGCGGGAAGCCAAGGGGCCCCTCTGCCCTCCTACCCTACGGAGGATGTTGTGGGGGGCTCGATGTCAGTCCAGAAGGCCCCAAATCCTCAGCTGCTGGGCAGGAGCCTCAGCTCCCCCTCCGGCCCTGTGGGGAGAGCCCAGCACGGCCGCTGAGGCTGTGAACGAGTCGTCCTTTCCTCCAGCCTGAAGCAATGTGCCAGTCCAGCCGCACGGGCAGCTTGGCACCCTGGGGCTCCCTGGACACCGTCTCTCCCCCCCCCCGTCCCCCCAGAGAAAGGCAGGGCTGGGGGCAGAGCTGGAGGCAGGGCCTGGCCCCGGGGAAAGGCGGCTCCCCTTGGGCGCGGGGACGTGAAGTGGAGGCAAGCGCCTGTGGGTTCCCTCCTTGTCCTTGTCCTTTCTCCAGCTGGACCTCCTGGGTCTGGACGCGGCCAGGGAGAAGAAGGAGATGGAGCAGAAGCATTCCACCATCCAGCAGAAGGTACCTGCCCCACCGGTGGGCTCTTGCGGGTCACGGGCCGCCCGCCCCAGCAGAGCAGGGCCCCTGCCTGGGGGAGCTCCCTGGAAGAGCACCCCTCTCCCCCCCCCCGGCCCCTTTGCCGGCAGCAGAGCAAAACCCCCGCCTCGCCCCGTCGCAGGGGGCTCTCCATGGGGCTGCCGGGGGTGGGGGGGCAGCGGGGTGGAGGAAAGGGGAGCGTTGCCTCTTCCATCGCCCACGTTACCTGCCCCAAGGCCGGCCCCTTGCCGCTGGGTGCCATGGCCCTTTGGAGATGCCAAGCAAATCTCACCTGCCCTCCAGGTGCCTCAAGGGGAAAGAGAGCCCGGCCTGGTCCAGGGGCTCAGCCTGACAGCCCCCCCCCCCCCCGGGTGTTTGTGCTCTCCAGAGGGGTGGGTGTCCTCGGGTCCCACCCTGAAGCAAGGGCTACTGGTGGGGCAGGCTCTTTGCTCCCCTCCTGCCCCCAAGAGCTGCCCCCAAAGGCAGCTCTGTAATCCCCCCCCGCCCCCCCATTCCCTGCCATGCCGGGTAAAACAGGGAACTCCCAGCCGATCGATCCTCGCTGGCGGATTAAAAAAGTATTCATGCAGGGATCAATAAAAGATTGGAAATGGGGAAAGGAAAGGGATAACCCTCCAGAGACTGTGCTAAAGGAAGGAAAAGGTAGCGTGGGATGGTTATAAAACCGGCTTTAACCTTCAGGAGGAGGCCAGTTTTTGAACCGTCCATCTTTGCAGGGGGTTTCACTGGCTTTGCTGGTTGGCTGGAAGGGTCTTGAAGGGGCCCTTGGGTGGCAGCCGGTTTCTGCAGCCCAGCTGCCACTCTTCCTGGGTTTGCTGGCTTTTCCGCTCAGGTGTGTGGGCCCTTCCCCTGGCTGCTGTGGTCAGGGGAGGGGCCTCCTCTGCCGTGGCTCCTGCCCTCTGGAACGTGGGATCCCACCCTCTCCCCTTCCACCGGGGCCTGAAGTGGAGGGGGGGGTGGATTAAGGAGGGGAATCCTCCCCCCTCCCAGGCATCGTGCTGCCTCCCTCCCTCTCTGTTAACTGTAACTTAGGGTTCTGTTCGTACTCTATAGTTTTTAAAAAAATACTTACCTTCCATGGTCTTCTATCCCAGAGGATTCCCGGTTACCCAGGTCAGGATTGTCCCAGAGGTGCTTTTCCAAAAGGCAACTGGGCTCCCGGTTTTCCTTGAGGAAGTTTCATGGCTTGGATGAGAAGGGAAACCAGGAAAGGCCAGCAGCACCTTTGGGACTGCTGTGACCTGGAGGACTGAGAACCTCCAGAGACATAAAACTATAAAAGATAAACATTTTTAGAAACAATAAAAATAGAATTACAATCCAAAGTAATTACGATGCAATGTGCACCTTTTATGGTTTTACTCCTTTTAATCCTGATCCACCCTTCAAAGCAAGATTAAACAGATTGAATCACATAGATACTGTACAGTCAGGTGTGGGATTCAGATTTTTTAAAAAACGGTTCTGTGGGCGTAGCTTAGTTGGTGGACATGGGTTGGTGGTCATGTGACTGGGTGGGCATGGCTTGGTGGTTATGTTATTGGCTGGGTGTGGCCAATTCAATATCACTCACATGGAGGTACACATCTCCTCACCTGGCCTTTCATGACTGTGGGGATGCTGCAACAGTCGTAAGTGTGAAAAATGGTCATAAGTCACTTTTTCAGTACCATTGTAACTTTGAATGGTCACTCCACATGAGCAAAGTACCAGCAAAGGAGGAGGAAAAAAACTCCAGAAACATTCCAGAGACAGGAAGTCTAGTCCTGCCAAGAATGGAATAAGGGTTAACGGAGAGGCAGTTTCTGTAAGCAACCCCAGAATGTTTCCTTCCTGCCTTCCTTACAGGATTAGCCCAGTAATTTCTTCTAACAACCGGTTCTCCGAACTGCTTAGAATGTTAACAACCGGTTCTAGCGAATAGGTGCGAACTGGTAGAACCCCACCCCTGTGTACAATGCATTGTTAATGCAATATCAGGAGTTTTCAGTTCAGTTGTACAGAATGTGAAGGATGTGTGTTTGTGTTTTATTTGTATAGTTATAGTTATGTACACTGAAGATGGCATTTAATTTCGTTGTTATGAGGTGCAATGACAATAAAGATGATAGATGACCTAAGTAGGTAGGTAGATAGATGGGGGAGAGGAAAGATTGATAGGTAGGCAGATTCCTAAAAGCTCGAGTGCCGCACCGACTCTTCTGTTCACTCCCACCCTGGAAGCCTCCGGAGCCAGCGCAGCCTTGCAGGGCCACCTGGGTGTGATGCGGTTCATCCACCGGTACTACCCTAGCTGTGGGGTGATGCTGAAGCGATCGCTGGGAGGGGATTCTCCCCACTAGCCAAGGCTCTGGTACCAGGGGAGGGGAATCTAGCGCAGGAGTCCTCCTCCAGGTGCGCTGAGCGTGGGGGCTTTGCTCGCAGGCTTCATTACCTGACTAGGCGACGTCTTCATCAAGAGGCGCCTGAAAGGGGTGGGGAGACCACGTGGAGGCCTCCCAGCAACGAGCCAGAGGCTCCTGGGCACCTGAATCTCCCCCGCCCTTTCCTCAGGCCCCTGGATGTGAGGTGAGAGGCTTGGACTCTCGCCCCCCCCCCCCCCCGACCTCCCCCGCAGAGGCTGACAGGAGGCCTCTCTTTATGCCAGGACTTCTCCAGCGACGAGATGAAGCTGGAGTACAACGTTGATGCGGTGAACGGCATTGTCATGGAGGGCTACCTCTTCAAGCGAGCCAGTAACGCTTTCAAGACCTGGAACAGGTAAGGCTGTTCCCTGAGGGAGCCGTAGTCTTTGCCTCTGGATTCCTCTCCGGGGCCCAGGGGCTCTTCCTCACCCTGCGTGGCGGGCCACTCGGAGCCCAAGGAATGGAGAACGGGGCGCTCCTTCAGAGCAGTCGGTTGATTGTTGCTCGCCCGCAGGCAGGAATCCTGCCAGACTAAAGCACGTAAGTGCATAGAGATCGGCTCCACCCTGCCCTCTTCCTGCCCGCCAGAGATTCCAGGGGCCCTTTGCCTCTTGGCTCTCTGGGAAGGAGTCCCTCCCTCCTGCCCCTCCGAGCTGCGTCCCAGCACAGTCCTCCCGCAGTTAACAGGCAGGATGCTGCAAAGGTCTCCTCCTTCCTTGGGGAGGAGGTCCCTCCCTGCAAGGGGTCGGGGGTGGGTGGGGGGTTCTTAGGACTGGAAATGCCCCTGGTGGGTGGGAGAATTGCTGAAAAAGAGCCACCCAGGACGACCCAGGAGAAAGAGGTGGGGGAGCAAAGGCCAGGCTGGCTAAGAGTGAGGAGGGTGACAGCGGAGGTTCTGCTCCAGTGAAGACAAGAGCGTGGAAACGGGGCCTCCAGCAGAGAGCCCAAGGGGGCTCGGAGCCAACGGCCCAAAATTCAGGGGGCTGAAAGAGCCCCGAGGGCAGAAGGGAGACCCCGGTGAGTGCAGGGGAGTTTATGGGAGCCCCCTGTTAAATCGGTGGGGTTTTTTGGAGCTCCTAAGGTTCAAACGTAGATAACCTCCAAGTTCTCTCTTTCACATTGTGACGATGGAGGGTGGTCAGGCCACGTGGGGAAGAGCAGGGAGAAGGACCCAGCTTACAGCCTGGTTACGCCTGGGGAAAGAACCGGGGGGGGGGGGGGGGGGGGGGGGGTGCGCTGGCCCGGTCACCCGCAGGCACCTGTCTCTCTCTGCCTGGCCCGGAAAGAGGGCAGGCCGCCTTTGTCTTCCTGGGCCAGTGAGGAGAGAGGGCGACCGGAGGGGCCTTGCTCTGGGCCGGGCAGAGGGGCCATCTCTCTCCTGGCCCCACTCTAGTGGGCATCTATCTTCCTTGGAAGAAAAAGAGGGGGTCCCAGGGGCAAAAGGAGGGAGCCCCTCGGGGGCAGCAAAGGTCAAGGCAGGTCTCAGGGAGCCAGAGCAGCTGCCGGAGGGTGACGACGGGGCCTGAACCTGAACCCTGAACCCCGGGGCAAAGGGAGGGCGGATCAGAGATCTCCAGGAGCTTCTTCCCAGGGGGTTGCTCTGAGGTTGGGCAAAGCACCAGGACTGTATTTGGGGAGTCCTTGGATTGGTTTGTCCGAGGCAGGAACGCTGACGCTATTGGGGTGAGTTGGGGGGGGCAGCCTTGTTTTCACGCTCGGCCTGGGAGGGGTCTTGGCAGCAGCAGGTGAGTTGGGGGCCCTTGTCTCTAGTGCCAAGGCTTCATACGTGCCTTGGTGAGGCCACACTTGGCATCCAGGTTTGGTCGCCCCCGTATAAAACCAATGCTGAGACTCTAGAAAAGGGGGCAAGGAAGAGGATCGGGGGGCGGGGTGGGGGTGGGGGGCTGGAGGCTAAAACATACGAAGAACGGTTGCAGGAGCTGGGCGGGTGCAGTGGAAAGAAGGGCCGGGGGGGCAGGATAGCGGTCCTCCAATATTTGAGGGGCTGCCCCAGAGGAGAAGGGGGGGGTGTCCACCTATTCTCCAAAGTACCTGAAGGCAGGACAAAAAACAACAGGTGGAAGGAATCCAGTTGAGGAGGGGAGCCAGCTGGAAGGAAGGAGGGATTCTCTTGTCAGCGGGGGCTCCGTCCCGGGAGGCTTTTAAGGAGAGGCTAGGCGTGGCTCCCTGCCAGGAGGCCCCTCCAGGGTCCCGGCCAACTCCTGCTATTCCGAATTCTCCTGGATTGGCATCTGCAGGGGAGGCCCTTCGAGGCCCCCTGGTGCTCGACGCCCCAGCTCTCCTCCCGGTGCTTCGTGGGGGGCCCTGATGGGGCTGGCTGGCAGGGGGGTGGTGGCTGTGGCGGCTGCCCCCCCTTGCCGGGCCGTTGGGGGCGGGGGGGGAGGGGCCGTGCCCAAGAGCCGAGCCACTTAGACGGTGGCCGTCTCCTTCCTCTCCCAGCTCTGCTCCATCGCCTCCAGCGCTCGGCCGGCTTGTTTCCCGCCTGGTTCTTTTGACTTTGGTTTCTCCACCCGTCTTTCTCCTGGTTCTGTTTTGACCCTCCCTCATTTTCTCCACCTGACAGGAAACCCCCTGGTGGCATCAGGTACCTCTCGGCTTGTGCCCCCTTGGCGCTTCCTCCCTAGTTCTGTGCCCAAGCATGCCAGACAGCCAAGGCTCCGCCCCCGGCCGGCCTCCCCCTCCTCCTCCTCCTCCTCCTCAGCTGGAGAGGGTGCAGGAGCAGCCGCCTCTCTTCCCGGGGGTGGGGGTGGGGGGACATGCCTGCTGCCCAGGTCCCTTAACAGGCAAGGCCAGCTCCCCCCCCCCCCTTCTAACTCTCCGGGTATCTCTGGGGCTCCAGGGTCAGTAACCTCGCTCCCCCCAAAGAGCCTTTTCCTTTTAGCTTACGCCTTTTATGAAGATTTTTAGCAATAATAATATTAATCATTGCTTGAATACCTTTATTGCTTTTAGCTTCCTTGTATGCCTCCCAGAGCCCCTTTTTTGTGAGGTGCCCCCCCCACATCAGTTTGACAATAAATAAACAATGGGGGGGACGCATCAGAGGAGAAGCGCTGCCCGGGGGGGGTTCGGGGGGGGGGGCTTAACCCTGCCGCCCTGTGGCTGTTAAGGACACAATCCCTCCTCCTGTTCCCCCTCCTTTGAGGATGGGGAGGGGTCCTCCACCTCCAAGCTGAATCCAAATGGCAGCTGTGCCCCCCCGCCCTCCTCTCCCCCCCCCCCCCCCCCGGTGGGGGCCCCTCCCGGCCCCGCCCCCCCCCCCCCCCCCCCCCCCCCCCCCGCATTGGTAGCACCGTCCCTCTTATTGCTGCACGTTGCCTGCCGGTTCTGTGGCTCCCCCTCAGCCTTCCCCTTGTGCCGCTTCAGCCTCTGCCATTTCTCTCTCCTTGGGGGCCGAAGGGGCCTGGCTGCCCCTCCCCTGTCCTTGAGGGCGCCTGGTGCCCCTCAAAAGGCCGCAAGAGCCCCTGGCTGGGCCGGAGTTTCCTTCCTGGGAGAGCAGCCCTTGATGGAGGCGGTTCTCAGCTGGGGTGGCAGCCTCTCCTGCCCGGAGAGAGGCCACGTTACCCACCCGAGATGCAGCGAGTGGGGTTGAAGCCCCCTTAGGTGGGGGAGAGCTCAGTGCCCAGCATTGGCCAGTTACTGCAACGGGAGGGTCTCTGCCCCCACATCCCTGCCCTGCCCTGCCCTGCCCTGCTGCGTCTGCCTGGAACAGCGGAGGGCAGTGGCCGCCCAGGGCCAGCTGGGTAGCTGCTTCTGAGGGGGGAACCATCCTGCTGGCGCAGGGCCATTTGGGGTGGGCAGTGGGGAAGCCCCTCTGCCTGTGGCTCAGCCTGCTTTTTTGGGGGGGGAGGGGGCACATCTCTGGAGTTATCAGCACTTGTCACAGTGGGGGGGGGGGGCATTCAGAAAAGAACCCAAAGGTAAAGGGGCGCACCTCCCCTGTTAGCAATCCCCCCCCCCGGCCCCCCCCCGCTTCGGTCCCCCCCCCCCGGCCCCCCAGGGGGCTTTTTCTAAGCACTCTCTGGATCCCGGCCAGACGTCGTGGGCTCACTGGGCGTAAACGGGGTCCTGGCCAGTTTCCTTTTGGGGTTGAGGGCTCTGAGGGGGTCCAGGAGCTGCTGCTGAGCCCGGCGTTCCCACCCCTCCCTCGCTGTTAGAGCAGCACAGCAGGGGGGCCCTCTGGCTGCTTTGCGGAGGCCCTTGAGTGTGTCTCACGCGTGCGCTCACACACACACACACACACACACACACACACACACACACACACACAGACGCGTACCCTGCTTAATGGAGTGCCCACCCTGGGTGCCTTCAGCCTCGGTCTCCGCCTGTCGAGGGCGGTGCTGACTCCGCTGCCTTCCCTTGCGCAGGCGCTGGTTCTCCATCCAGAACAACCAGCTGGTCTACCAGAAGAAGTTCAGGGTAAGTCCCGGGGGGCGCTGGGGAGCCCCCCTGGAGCTGCTGTTGGCACGGCCTGGTCCTCGTCCGCAATGAGGGCAAAAGGAAGGTTGTTCTGGGACGCTGGCGCCCTCGCTTGCCCGCCTAGGGCAGGGGTGGGGCTGGGTGGGCAGGCGCCCATCCCGCAAGTGGCATACGCAAGGCGTGCCTGCTCAGGACGGCTGGGCACAGCCTGGCATCAGGCACCCTGGGCCTCTCCCTCCTTGGCCTCTCTCTCGGCTGCCCAGGGAAAGCCCCTCCTCGCTCAGGGCGCTCTCCCTCGGTGGTGGTGGGGGGGCAAGGGGGGGCTCCAGGTGGGGACCAGGCCCTGCAGACGGCTCAGCTTCCCTCCCTCCCCCCCCAGGATGCGCCCACCGTGGTGGTGGAAGACCTGCGCTTGTGCACAGTGAAGCCCTGTGAGGACCTAGAGAGGCGCTTCTGCTTCGAAGTGGTCTCCCCGACCAAGTGAGTGGGAGGACTCAGCCCGAAGGCCCCCACCCCCCACCCCCCCTGCCCGAACGGATCCCTTTCGGAGTTGGTGCCGTTTCTGAAAACCCCAATTGGCCGCTTTGCCCAGGATGCTAAGCCAGGAAGGAAACCCCCTTCCCGGCCAAGATCGAACCTGACCGTGTTTAGCCACAGTACAAATGTGTCTGGGACGAACGTTGAGTTGGGGAGGGGGGGGGGGCGGAAACCTCCCCTTCTCAGCCGAGGCTAAGGAGTCCTCTCCCAGCGTCTGCCTGGCTGAACCGGGGCCGGGTCTCCTCCCTCTCAATCCTGGGCAGAGGAGACCCTCCCCCCGCCCCCCAACACCCCCGTCCAGCTTTCCTTTAGCAGGACCAGAAGGCCTCTCACTCTGCAAGAAGCCCCCTCCACCTGTTGTGTGTCCCCCCCCCCCCATTTTCTGGATCTATTCATATCCGCCCCCCCCCCCCCCTGTATTGTGTTGGGTAACGGCACCGTTGAGGTGGGGGGGGGGGGGGGCTTTGACTTTAAGGCTGGAAGGTGTGAATTGATATCCCATTTATACCCTTAATTCTTGGGGGGAGGGGGGCAGGTGCTGCCAAAAGCCAGGCGCCCCCAGGGGCTCCCCTCACTCGCCTGGCCGTGGCTCTCTTGGGCAGGAGCTGCATCCTGCAGGCTGATTCGGAGAAGCTGCGTCAGGCGTGGATCCAGGCTGTGCAGACCAGCATCGCCAGTGCCTACAGGGAGAAGGGGGAGGAGGCCGAGGTGGGTGCCCGTCCCCCCCCGCCCCGCCCCGGCCACACCCCCTCTGGAGGCCTCTGCTGCTGCCACCGCCACTGGGGCTCGCAAGCGGAGCAGTCAGCGCCGGCTCTGGCCTGTGGCAGAGGCGCCATCGGGGATGTCCGGGAGACGGTCTTGGGGGCTGAGGAGGGGCAGCCCCAGCACCTTCCTGCTTCTCCCGCAGGTGGAGAGGAAGCGGCCCCCCTCCACAGGGAGCCCCGAGTGCAGCCAGGAGTCTAGAGAGAAGTCGCTGAAGGGGGAAGGCTCCCTCCAGAGGGTCCAGGCCATTGCCGGCAACGCGGCGTGCTGCGATTGTGGCCAGGCGGACCCCCGCTGGGCCAGCATCAACCTTGGCATCACACTCTGCATTGAGTGCTCGGGCATTCACAGGTGGGCAAGCGGGCGCAGCCCCTGGCGCTCCCCTCCTTCCCTGCCTCCTTCCTAAGTCGGTGCCCTCTGCCTGCCCTGCAGGAGCCTGGGCGTCCACTTCTCCAAGGTCCGGTCCTTGACGCTGGACTCGTGGGAGCCAGAGCTTTTGAAGGTACCGCCTCTGTGGGGCGAGTGGGGGGGGGGGGGGGGGGGGGCCCTGGGGGGGCGGGGGGGGGGGGGGGCTGAGGCCCAGCCAGGGCAGGACCTCTGCTCAGATCAGCCCAGGCGGGCACCCCTTTCGGTTTCTGCCAATGGGGCCTTTGAAGAAGGGACCACTGTGTCAGCACTGAAAAGTCCCAGAGGCCTCGGCCCAGCCCCCCACCCGGAGAGGCAGCGCAGGGTTAGGGCCGGTTCTGATGATCTGTGATTTTCCTACAGCTGATGTGTGAATTGGGAAACAGTGTCATAAACAGGGTGTATGAAGCAAACAGAGAAAGAATGGGAGCCAAGAAGCCCCATCCTGGAAGCCAGAGGTACTTATAGCAGCGCAGGGGTTGCCTTTGCCCTTTCCCTTCAACCCTCCTTGGTCTCCGTTAGGGTAGGGGCCCCATTCCCCACAAGGCTGGAGCTGAAGGGGCCTTAGAGGCCATCCAGTCCAATGACTGGCGAGGGCACGACCTGCTTCAGGCAGAGGCCCGTTTGGCCCACTTGAAGCTCTCCCGGTTGAAGGGAAGCGCAGCAGCCCCCACAAAGCCCCCTCCTGCCCCACCCACTGGGAGCCCCACAGAGTCGCTTCCCGGCCTCCTTGTGCAGGTGGGGCCTTTGCTTGGTATCCCCACCCCCCATGGTTGGAAAGCCATGTATGATCGCTCCTTGGATATTGTCCATCCATCGTCTGCTTCATATTTATTGTTTTTTTAAAAAATAATATCATGGGAAACTTCCTTTTTTAACTGAAGTCATAGTAGAAGGCGTTCCCGCTATCTACTAAAGCAGTAACGTGTCCAAAAGAAAAACAGTGAGAACGTTAGTCTGGCACGGCGAAGCTGTGAGTTGGTTTTGGTGAGATGGGCGGCTGCACAAATCGGACCCATCATCAGTCCCCCTCAGTGCTGGCGTTGCTGCTGGCTGCGTTCCTGGCCCCCCTCCCCCGCTTCCCACCTTAGGGCAGGGAAGGGGGCTGCCGTGTGCCTTTGTGAGGAGGGGGCTGCCCAGTCGTCCTGGATGCCGGCTTCCTGCCTGTGGGCAGCGGGGCCGAGGCGCCCATCCCATTGCCCTTGGCTGCTCCTGGGGCAAAGGGCTGGACGCTCCAGCCAGCCCCTGCCACCTCGGGTGCCCCGGGGGAGGGCTGGAAGCTCACCTGGGGTGTTTTCTGTGTGCAGGCAGGAGAAGGAGGAGTACATCAGAGCCAAGTATGTGGACCGCCGGTTTGTGTCCCCTGCTGACCCAGCCCTGACCCCCAGCCAAGAGGGAGTGAAGCAACGCAGCCCTGGAACCCCGGCCGCCCCCTCGAAAGGTATCCAGGCTGCTGGCCGAAACCTCGCCCCCCCCCCCTCTCTCTCTCTCTCTCTCTCTCTCTCTCTCCCTCGTAAAAGGAGGGGGGGAGAATCCCGCCCGGGCAACCCTGGGGAAGGCTCCCACGTCCGGCTTTCCAAAGCCCAGAGGGAAGCAGAGAAGGCCACGGGGTTTGCGCTTACTGACGGCCGCTATTGGCCAGCCACTCCCCCCCTCCCCCCGTCCTTGGCCTGCCACTGAGCCACGGCCCAGGGACCGGTGTGAGGGGCAGCCGGGCTCTCTTCTGTCTCAGGGAATTAGATTTGCTCTCCTCCTCCTCTGACTCCTCCTCAAATCCACGTAGTAGTAAGACTGCTCTGGTGCACCGCATGGCTGCTGCTTTGGGCTTCTTTGCAACTTCTGGGGCTGCTGTCGGCCCCCCTCTGCCCCGGGGAGGGAGAACCGAGGGCTGCCTCCCAGGCTCTGGGGGTGGGCGAGCCGAGGCTGCACGCCCTGCGCTCACCAGTCTGCCAAGGCAGGTGTGTGTGTGTCCCTCCCGCCCCACGGCTGCTGCCACTGCTAAGGGCTGCCTCTCCTTACAACAGTCCCTAGCGCTAGCAGCGACCAGGGCCCCCAGCCCGGCAAAGGGGAGATCCAAGAGATGTTGGCAGCCGTGGCCCCAGCTGGCATCTTGCATGAACCAGGTAAGAGCTTCTGCTGGGGAGGCTGTGTGGGGACCCTCGTCTTCTCTCCTTGGGTGGGATCCCCATCCCTCTCCCCCCCCCCGGGGCTGCCCGAGAGCGTCAAGCAGGAACATGTTTTGGACGTGTGTGTGTGTGTGTGTGTGTGTTAAAATGTCTAAAGTGACGGGGGCTTCAGCCCTCTCTGCAGTGGGCCGCTGGGCCTCCTCCAGCTGAGCTGAGCTGGGGGGGGGCGGGGGGGGAGCGGGGCGGCAAGTAGGACGCGCCCCTCCTCCAGGGGGAGAAAGCCAGGGGGAGGCCGCCTCGGCTGCTGCTGCTGCTGCTTCCCAGGATGCCAGGCTGCGGGTCGCAAGGCTGCAGCTGTACCAGGCGGCCTACCAGAAGAGCCTTCCCCGCATGGCCGAAGCCCTGGCTCAGGGGGCAGGTGTCAACTGGAGCAACCAGGAGAAGAACGGCTTCACTCCGCTGATCCAGGCGGTTCGTGGGGTGAGCTTTGCCGGTCCTGCCGGGCCGGCCAGCTGCCCTGGCCACCGGATCCAAGGGCGCAGGATTCGGGTTGCATCCCGCAAGCTTGGGGAAGGGAGGGCCGAGGCCCTCTTCTGGCCGAGAGCTCAGGCTGGATCCCCCTTGTCTCCCCGTCAGGGCTCCCTGGTCACCTGTGAGTTCCTGCTCCAGAACGGGGCCAACGTGAACCTGAGAGACGCCCAGGGCCGAGGGCCGCTGCACCATGCCACCCTTTTGGGGCACACCGGGTAGGTCTTCCGGGCCCCTGCCAGATTCCTCGGAGGGCTCCTCCGTGGAGGCTCTGTTCTGCAGGGAGTTGACCGCTGTGCTGGTTCCCTTAACAGGCAGGTGTGCCTGTTCCTGAAAAGGGGGGCAAACCAGCATGCCAGGGACGAGGACGGGAAGGACCCCTTGAGCGTCGCCATAGAAGCCGCCAACGCCGATATCGTGACCCTGTAAGGACGGAGTTTTGTGGTCTCCCTTTCACGAGGAGGACCAGGCTGGGAGGAGGCTGGGCAGAGGTGGGGTGGCCCTCAGGCGTTCCGGCCTGAGCCTCTTTTTCCTTTCTCCGCAGGCTGCGCTTGGCCAGAATGAACGAGGAGATGCGGGAGTCGGAGGGCCTCTACGGCCAGCCAGGTCCGCCTGCCCATAGCCCCACCGAGAGGCAGGACGGGAAGGGCCCACGGGAGTTCCTCGGGGGGGGAGGGTGTTTGAGGTTCTGAGGGGGAATAGGCTGAGCCCCTCTTCTCTGGGCAGCCCCTCAAATATTGGAAGGCTGGTCTTTGAAGTCAGGGTGCTCCCTCCTTCAGGCACCCCCAACTGGCCAGGCCCAGAAGCCCCTGGGCTGGTGTGGGGCCGGCGATGCCCAATTCCTCTGCAGGGCTGGGATCAGCCCCGGGGCAAGCAAAACGGGGGGGGGGGCAGGGGCTGGTGCTTCATCATCGTGAAAGGCTTTTCTCCGAAGGGAAGGCAACTGAAGGTGGTCAGCCAGGAGGGGACGGGGGGGGGGGAGTGGGAAGGTCAGCCACTCCTCTCCCGCCCCTGGAGGCCACCCCGTGCTCTGGCCTTGGCGGCGGCTGCTCTTCTTTGCCCAGGCTGGACCTGCCCAAATAGATGCTGAATCTTCCAAGCACCGCAGTTTGGGTGCCGCAGCGCCCGGCATCCCAGGCAGGGAACTGCAGGGGTCCTGGAGTGGCCTGGAGGTCGCTGGCAGGGGCCTGCAGAAGCCTCCTGGGAGGGGGGGCTGGCTGGGAGCACGACGGGGCAGCTCAACCGAGGGACCCCGCCCCAGGACAGGCTGGGGGGGGGCTAGTCAGGGCCCT